TAAAGCAGAAGTAAAACAGAATTGTACAACACTTTGATTCAGATTTCTTTGTTTGTTAAAACATATTATGTAGTTTTACATATGTAGGGGTAGATACCTCATGAAACAGAATGTATATGTTATATATAATATATAATATATATATTATAAATATATAATTTCAATAGAGATAGGTCACGAGCCTATTCAAATATCATTAATTAATTCATTTTATTTTTTTTTACACATCATAACATATAAAAATATAATAATTTATATATTTTTTTATAAATTTATTGATAGTAATCGTAATTAACTTATATAAAATTGATAGACGTAAAATTTTTACATATAAGACGAAAAATGTAATAATTGTCATAAAATATGATAATGTTTGTAATTTACTTTAATCAAAATTATTATTGAACCGTTCGATTTTAAAGTTTATTTAAATTTAATCTAAACTTTTATGGTTGATTGAATATACTATTTAAAAAGAGACTAATTTGAATGTCTTATAAAATTTTTGGATGAATTTAATTTTTTTGAGGGTCAATTTTAGATATATTATATTCATGCATATCATATTTATGCAAAAAGATGTAACATGGGTCATGGGTAACATAATGGTGGTAAACTTGACAAATCACATGGATGTTCCTACCTAACAATTGCAAGCTAAAATCATATATGTATATATATATATATATGTACATATATATATATATATATCCAATTATAGCATTGTGTGAACTACTAGAATTTGTAAACAAAAAGCAATATTGGACCCCAATTTTACCATAATCCGTACGATTTCAACCACACTAATTACCTTTTTGGTAGCTGCCCCCTTGTTTAGTTATCATTGTAATCTCCAAATTTTATTTTATTAAAATATTTTATTATTTAAATGTATTTTTTTCATTAAAAAAAAAAGAAAAATATGCACTTTTAAGTGTATGTAAATAAAATTATATTTTATAAATAGAATAAAATATATTTTTTTAATTATATAGATGGAAAAAAAGATACTAAAAAAATTATAATGGTAAATATACTGGTAATAAAACAATTAAAATTCAAGTCAAATTTTACATGAAGAAAAATTGATTATGTTGACTGAGAATTAATTAATTAAATTAATAAATTAAAATCAGGTTTGAATAAGATAATGATTAATTAATTAATAAATAAAAATATCAAATACTTTCCCATTATTTTAAGAAATAATTCATGAATTAAAAAACAATATATGTAATTGGTATTTATATGATTTATTATTACTATTGTTATAAATAAAGAAGAAATAGAAATTATTAATCAACAATTATAAAATAGAATTTTTTAATTAAAAATTTCTAAAATTATAATTACCAATTCATAATCATAAACCCATAAAAAATTAAATCAAAATTTGAAATGAAATTATCATGTTGTTCAATTTAGCAATTATTATTATCATATATTTGAACCAACTTTTATGCAAATGTAATTAATTTTTATTTGATTTATTTAAAAATAAATCATATATAGTAGAACATACACGAAAACATTATCTGTAAAAACTTTAATCTAAAACTGAAATTTATATTAAGTATTTCACTGAAGGATTGATATATTTTTTTAATAAGAAATTATAATTTTGAATCAAATTAATTTTTTTTAAAAATTATATTAGTATAAATATATATATAAAGTAATTAATGGTATATTAATTTTTGCTAAAGAAAGAGAAGAAGGAATAATCTTGCTTAAAATCTCTAAATTAGTTATGAAATAATAATAATAATAATGTGGTAAAAATTAAATTTGAATAGACAGAAATGGCTTCCATATATGCAGGTGAGTGGGTGCCAGGAGAGACGGGGGTCTCCTTAAAAGAAGCAAACGGGCCGTAAATGCTTTTAAAGCAGCAACAGAGAAGAGAAGAGAAGAAGAAAGAAACAGAGGGAAAATCAAAAGGCTCCCATAACTCTCTTTTTCTTCTTCTGATCAACTTTTCCAGACAGAGAGAGAGAGAGAGAGAGAGAGAGAGAGAGAGAGAGAGAGAGAGAGAGAGAGAGAGAGAGTATAAAGAGCCAGCTGAAGAGAGAGATAGACACAGAAAACAGAGCGCCATGTCTCTTGGTTACGCAGAGAAGCTATCGTACATAGAGGATGTCGGCAAAGTTGGGATGGCAGAATTCTTCGACCCACCTCACGTTTTGCAAGACAAAGTGGGGCTTCTCTCCCTCTTCATTTTTTATTGTTCTTCTTTCTCTTATCATTTCTCCTCGTGGGGTTCTTGTTTGTTTTGGCTTTTTAGTTTCTGCACGTTGCATTTCGTAGTTGATTGCTTTGGTGATCTTATGGTATGCTTTCTTTTGATACTCATGACTGCTTTATTTAGGTTTTGTTGGTCTTATTTTCGTTAGAGCATTTTGCAATGGAGCTGTGGTTTGGTATTGAGCTTTGTTTGGTGTGTTGTACAGAGTCTTTGTTGATGGGTATTGGCCTGGAATGAATGGTGGGATTGAGTTCCATTTGGGTCTTTTAATTTATGATTAAGCTGGATTTTACGAGTCGTTTTGTTCTTTTTATGTCTAGATTGTAATGCTAAAGTGGGAATTCTTGTTACTTTAGTTGATTCTGACTGTCAATGTGTATGGTAGCAGAAGCAATGTAATGTTTACGTCCTGAGGCAGTTGTTTAGGGTGCCTTAAATTTATAGCTGAAGGATTATCAATGGCGTTAAGTTTTGACCGGGTATAGCTTAATCTATGATTAACTTGCTTCGGATTGAATTGCAACACAAAATGTAGAGCAGTGTTATTCTCTGCTACAAATGCGTAGTATGGTTTGCTTGAGATTTGACATTGAATTTTATGCATCATAACAATGGTGATCAGTATTATGTTTTCCTTGGTTTTTTCTTGCTGTTACTAATAGACACTAACTGTGGATCATCCTTTGGAATTAATTGTTGAAAGGTTTTATTTCATGTAGAATCTTGATACTAGAATTTGTAAGGTCCATACAAGAGAAAAGTCTGGTCACAAAAGTTAGTCCAGAAATGTACTAGCCTCAGGTTTTGATGTGCATCTGGGTCAAGACTGTAAGTTGAAGTTGATTGAATATGTGATCTTAGTTTGCAGAAAGCTGAGTTGAATGGTGAAACTTGTATGTTGGGTGTAGGCTATAAGTTGAAGTTGAGTGAATATTTTCTCTCTTTCTCTGTTTTCTTTTGGTAGAGAGCTCGGTTAAACGGTAGCAACTTGTATGACCTGTAGAATGTTGGATTTTAAAATTTCATTTCCCTTTTTTATCTGCTTTTGACAAACGAAAATTTCTGAAAACTTAGGAAGGTTGCATCCTAAATATCATTCTTTCTCATTGCAACTATAAGGTGACTGTTGATGATCTGATCACAATTTACATCACATCTGATTAGACTGTACATTGGAACAATTTTACAAGTTAATAATAAAACAAACATCTTAATTGAATCTTCAGTTCAAGTCTTCAGTTCAATATAATCAAGTTCATTCATTTTTAAATATGTGGCTGTGCTCTCTTGTGCATGCTTGGTTATAGATGTGTCAACACATTGGCATGCACATAAATATATATATATATATTTTGAATAAAAACATGCATATTTATGAAACGACAAGGTTGCATATATGTTTGCTTGATTTGCTTAGTTTAACTTTGCTTTTTTTCGGATGGCAGATTGAGCAACTTGCTAAGATGATACAGAAGGTTTGTATTTGCAAAAGCTCTGCCAGGTTGTCCTATAAATGATATTTATTCGGCAATTAGCCTCTTTTAATTATCTTTGTTTTTACTTGCAGAGTAAGCATCTAGTGGTATTTACTGGTGCAGGAATATCAACTTCTTGTGGTATACCTGATTTTAGAGGTCCCAAAGGAATTTGGACACTGCAGGTGCTGTTATCTATCTTTTACAAGGCATTTAATGAACTTTTGAGAAACAATTGTTTTCCACTTTGATAACTCACATCTTATATGCATATATATAGATATACATATATGCGCTACATACATCTTTAATATTTGAATAAAAGCTAATTGCAGCTTTCCTCATTAAGTTTTGGTTAAAATTTAGTACTTGGTCGTTGCTGAGTTGACTAATTTGTAACATTTAAGGTAATAAGCTTTGGTCTCTACTTGTCCCGGAATAGCTTTGTACTAATCAATTTGAAATAGTTTGAACAAGTTTCAAATGCATTGCATCTAGTGTTAGGGTGTGAGATATTTTAAGGAATGGAGTTTTATTGAGTAGAGACAAGATGGAATTAAGGAGAGCTCCTAATTTAGTGGTGAAAAAGATTATTCTAAGTCCACTTTTGTTGCTATGTGCATATATATATATATTCGCAACATACATCTTTATTATATGAGTAGCAGCTAATTGCAGCTTGCCTCATTGAAGTTATAGTTGAAATTTAGTATTTGTTAGTTGCTGAGATGACTAATTTGCAACATTCAAGGTAGTAAGCTTTGGTCTCTACTTGTTATGGAATAGCTTTGTATAATCAATTTGAAATAGTTTGAACAAGTTTCAAGTTAATCGCATCTGCTGTTAGGTGGTGAGATATTTTGAGGAATGGAGTTTTATTGAGTAGAGACAAGATGGGAATGCGGAAGAGCTCCTAATTTAGTGGTGAAAAATATTATTCTAAGTTCACTTTCATTAAAATTCGGAAGGTAATTGGAAAACCATTTAGTGGCAATTCCAGTTGCTCTCCTTTACTAAATTTAATCCATTTGGTGATTGCGAAAGGATAAAAAAATTGCTTTTTAATTTGTTGATATGGAATGGTTGTAGTCTGATATCATAAAGATGGGAATATGGATCTTGGTTTTTTACATTAGCCACACTACTTTTATTTTTTGTTCTGCACTTACATTATAAATAGAGTATCAAAGGTCATAGCAGTTGAAAATTGGTTCAGTCTTCAGTTCTGTTTCTAAATAGTACAGAGCCTTGGTATTTGCTGACCACCATGCCTCATCTTAGCAATTATTAAATGTATAACTTCCCTTTGCCTCTGAATAGTCTTATTGATTCCACTTATTACCCACAGCGGGAGGGCAAACCATTACCTGAAGCATCGCTACCTTTCCATCGTGCAATGCCAAGCATGACTCACATGGCTTTGGTTGAACTGGAGAAATCTGGCACTTTAAAGTTTGTCATTAGCCAGGTTGGCATTTAATGTAATGCTCTTATTTATTTTTTTGAAATAACTAATGAAATGCTTTTATCTTGAAGATGACATAATTTTGTCCTTTTTTGCCTCTATTTTTATGGCAATTTATATTTCCTTCAAGACTAGATGCTATAAAATGCAAAGTTTGGGAACTGAAGTTAATTCCTCTTTTCCTTAGTGGGTGTCTTCTTGCAAGGATGTGTGGATATCAGATTATTTTAGTCTATTTTTTTTTGAAATAAAAGTGTGAGTTGTATTAATGTGCTGGCACCAAAGGGACGCCACCTATATATAAAATATTTACAGATCAATTACGATATCTATAATGGAGCCAAAATATTTGAAACTATTAAGGTTGTGCCTCAATACAATAGAACCAAAATAGTGAAATCATCTATTCTTTATAGGTACAAAATCTGCTTCTTTTCCTTCGATAGAAACAAAACATTTTCAGACTTATTCCGCTAACTATTTTCTGGATATTTTAGTCTACGGATTTTATAAGATGTCTTTTTTCTCTAGCCAGAGTTTTTTTAAAGCCACAATCACCTTCTGCTCCTTATACACTTAAGATTAATTCAAAGAATGTTGCAAAACACTATGTTTTGCAGCATGGTTATATTATAATTAAGATTATATATCTTTAATATCATACTACCAGTATGAAAATGGCAGATGATGCACCTGTTCATGCGCTTAACATTTTCTTGTTTAAGTGTGTCATTAAGTTCTAATATCTGTAGGACAGTGGCAAACAGGCATAAAAAACTCACTAACTCTTTCTCTCTTCTGCTTCTAAAGCTGTGATTCTTCTCGCTGGCCTGGCAAAGGTTGTCATCAGAGACTTGGTCCATATTGTTAGACCAGAATGCATCTTGTCCTCTTTGTTTGCATCTTCTTCTCTTGGTTTGTGAGCGGTTGGAGATGTCATGACTCTTTTAGAGTTCGAAATGAGAAGCCCTAGTCGCTTGGTCTTATCTAATTTTTTGTCCAGAATGGAATTGTTAAATTTCATGGGGAGCAGATGTTATGGACCTCTTTATTGCAAGGTTTGATGGGGAGCTTTCTTGCGGAAAAGCATATAGATTGGTTCTGCCTTTGGCTCTGTTTCACAGTGATTTTTTTTCCAGGTTTCTGGGCATGATAGGAACGAGAACATGAAAGATAGCAATGTGGGTGTTGTTATTTGTTATGAATCCAAAATTAGTTTATTACTGTAAAGAGAAGAAGAATCCAGGGGTTGATATTTGAGAATTCATGCAAGTAGTTATTAATGTTTGAAGTATTATCTAGTTCGTTAGGATTTAGTAGTTCGGTATTTTAAATTGTGAGAAAAGACCAGAACAGTTAAACTTTTAAACTGTTGGTTGGGGTTGTATGAGAAGATCCTAGAAGCTAGGACAAGTGTGAGTCATGATGGTGGTAAGGGTAGTTATCCCCATAGGATAGGAATACTATTTTCTAGGAAGATCTGTAAATTCTGGTATAAAGTGTATAGAACAAGGAAGCATATTATGTCTAAGAAAATTTTCAAATTCTATTTGGTGTTTCAGGGGTTCTCTCTAAATGAGCCCTTACTAAAATAACCATATGTAGAATACAAGTCCTTACTTGAAATTTCTCTTTATTGAGTCAGAACGAGATCTCAATCTCAGGGACCACCACGTTATTCTTATGGAGATTGTCTAAGTTGAAGCCTACAAGTGGGTCTTAGACGACATTGCTAGGATTAGGATATTGTTGGGGGTTAATTCTAAGGGGTTTGAAAATCAAACTATTAATTTATTATGGGCCATTGATGGAAGCAAAAGTCAAAAGGGGGGAGATAAAACTACAAGGTCTTGAGGAAATAAGAAACCAATTGTTGATAGGGAAAGGGAACTTCGAAGACTTCATCACTTGGTGGACTATGAAAAGAGTGAAAAGGTAGGAGAGGGATGATAGATTTCGCCAACTATTGATTCTTTACACTAATAAAACTTGTTTGTCGGAATGTAAGAGTTCTGAATAATTTTCGAAAACAATTAATTATTAAGAGTTATTTGTCCACGTGGAAGAATGAATGTTGTATGTATTATTGAAGTAGAGGGCCCTATATATACATCTTTTGGGGCAATAAAAGAAAACATACAAATGATTAGATATGTTGATATTTTACAAGTATACCTTTTACCCTGACTATACAAATATACACTTTCTTATTTAGTAAGTATTTTTCAATACTCCCCTTCAAACTGGTGAATAGATATTGTTCCTTTCCAGCTTGAAAATTATCATACAAAATTTGGGATTACTCAACCCTTCAATTAGCATATCAGCAAGTTGTGGGGTGGTGGGCATGTATGACATGCATAACACACTATTATCCAATTTCTCCTTGATAAAGTGTCTATTACTTCAGTATACTTGGTTCTGTCATGCTGTATCGGATTATATGCTATACTAATTACTTGACTTGTTATCTTAGTAAGTTGCATAGGTCCTTCATATTCAATTTTCAAGTCTTAGGAGGTATTTTCAACCAAAAAAGTTCACTAACCTCTTGGGTCACTGCCCAAAATTCCAGTTTTGTACTAGATCAAGCTTCCACATTATGTTTCTTGTTTCTTTAGTAACTAGGTTTCCTTCGAGAAAAGTATAGTAGCTGGTGGTCGATCTTCTGTCCATTAATGATCCTACATAATCTGCGTCAATGTACGTTTCGATGGTCAACTGGTTGTTTCTTTTACAAATAATACTTTTTCTTGATATACCATTGAAATAGTGAAGTACCCAATATGCAGCATGCAAGTATATCTCGTTAGGCTTGTGCATGAATTGGCTTATCATTCTTACTGCATGGGTGATATCCGATCTTGTGTATGACAAATATATTAGTTTTCCAAATAGTCTTTGATATATTTCTTTGTTAATGTCCGAGTCTTCTTCCGCAAATCCCTATTTGTGATTAGGATCAATTATTACTCACGAGTTTACATGCCAACTTGTTGGTCTCTTTCAAAAGGTTAATCACATATTTTTATTGTGAGATAAATATCCCTGCTTTAGAGTAGGACACGTCTATCCCAAGAAAATATTTTAACTTCCATAATTTCTTCATTTCAAATTCTTTGGCTAGACATTAGTTGAACTGTTTTTTCCTTTACATCATTACCTGTCACAATTATATCATCCACGTACATTATGATGGTTGTGGTTCCTCCTGAATTGGAATGTTTAATAAATAAGGTATAATCTTTTTGGCTCTGTCTGTAAATTATAGCTAGTGTAATCTTTGTAAATCTTCCAAACCCATATCCGGTCACTTTCCCATGTGTCTTGCTTCGGATAGTGTACATAGGATCCTATTCTTTTTACACTGGATAACAAATAGGTCAAGATGGAGAGCTTTCGTAGGATGGTGGAGAATAGATGGAAGGACACACTGGTGAATTTAAATGCTAGCTTTTAGGGTTGCCAAAAAACTTAAAACCCTGAAGTCTGAGATCAAGAAGTGGGTGAGGGAGGAGGGAGAAAAGCAGAAGAATGTACTAACAATTTACTGAAAGAATTTGAAGACATTGACAAGAAGGAAGGTGAGGGGGGAATAATCGGGAATGAAGTGAATAAGAGAGAATCTTTGAGAAGGGAAGTTGGTAATAGACTTCACATGAAGGAAATGTCTTGGAAACAGAAGGTTGAGAGAGGTGGCTGAAAAGGTGATAGGAACACTAATACTTTCATTGTTTGGTGAGCCATAGAATAAGGTACAACTATGTGAAGAATTGATGATTGACAACCACAGTGTACGGGATAAAGATAGTATGAGGGAAAAAGCCCAAAGATATTTCCAACATCTGAATGAGGAAGAGGTAGGTAGAAGACCAAGGTTGGATGAATTGTAATTCAAGGAGTTGGATGTGATTGGCAGATGCTGAGTTAGAATAGAAAGAGAGTTCTCTGAAGGGGAGATCCTGGATGGACTCAAGGATAGTAATGGAGATAAAGCTCTGTGGCGTGATGGATTTAATATACGGTTTTTACAAGAATTTTGGCATGTTAACAAAGGATTTGATAAATGTGTTCATAGAGTTGTATGTATTGGGATCTTTTGTGAAGTCTTTTAATTAAACTTTCTTGGTTCTTATTGCTAAGGTGGAGGGAGCAAAAAATATTAAAAACTTCCGACCTATCAGTCTTGTGTGGTGCATATACAAGCTTATATATAAAGTTCAACGATTCTCCAAGTTGCTAGGTGAGGTGATTGGGGAGAGGCAACATGCTTTTGTAGAGAGAAGGCAAATCCTGAATGCAGTGATGGTGGCAAATGAAGTGATTGATGACTTGGTGGGAAATAAGAGGGATGGGTTCTTGTGTGAGGTAGATATGGAGAAAACGTACGATCATGTGAATTGGGAGTTTGTGGATTATATGCTGGGTAGATTAACGTTTGGGAATAAG